ATTTGTGAGTGTACGAAAGGAGAGGGGCCATATATACATTATAAGTTATGTATACAATGATTGCTAATGGCGGGGAAACTGCGCAGAAGGCGAGCAAAGCAAAAATTGGCAGAATACAAGAGTCACATCTATGTCGGGATCATCTAAGGTGAGCTCCTCGACACGGGTAACAAGGTTCCCTACAAGGTCCAGATGCTCCTGCTTGTACCGGAACCTCAAGATTTGAAGGGCTTTCATGAGTACTCGGACTCTATCTCCTCACGAACACAAGGGTGAAACCGCCGCCATTACGGCCAGTAAGTGGATTGGAGTTGGTGGGGCAGATGGCTCAAAAACGCGTGAAATTGTCTATAATAACACAATATCTAGCTATACATACAGCTAAACGCACGAGTAGATACATTTTTCCTCTTGCTATGGCGAGGAAAGGGATAAAACAATGCGAGGAGGGGGTGAGATGGAAAGTGGGACAGAGCATTCGGTATGAGATGTGGAGCGCTTCGTGGGCAGGTCTTTCCATTACCGGCAATCCATCACGATATGGTGTCATCACGACTCCCAGCCAGCTGGACTCTCCCCGAACATTCCCCCTGGCTGCAGCTGATTGCGAGCTGGGAATATAGCCACATCAGCTTGATCCACCCAGCCGGGCCAAGCTCCGTGATTTTACAGCCAAGCCAAGCCAGCTCTCAAGCCCAACTCGAATTGGCGGCAACACTAGTTCGCGTGCTCAGGGGCATGCCCCGAACCTTCTTCATACCAACCGCTTTGCCTGTGGGACATCCTCGGACGTCCAGAGGTATGCTCGCGCTGGGCGAGGGCACGATGCTAGACGGATACGAGGCGGGCCCCACGACACCTTGCAGAGAACCGGAGCCAGCAGTGGACCCATATGGCAATTGCCGATAAAAGCCCGATCCGAACTGAGGCGCGGAGGAATCTTGGTCATCTCTGCAAGTTCGGCAATTCAACAAGCGACTCGTTTCTTGCGGCTGTTGTGCAGAACCCTTTCTTCGCGTTCACATCGACACCGCACGGAGCTTGGGCGTTGATACGCCTTCGTAGGTATCTGTTTTAGATCTTCTCGGGCCGTCATTCTGTTAGCACGTAAAAGCTCACACCCCCCATCCGCCAGCAATCAATATCCGTGACAGCCGCATCCAATAACTCCTCCAAGATGTCCTCCGCCGAGACCAATCCTCGGAAGGCTGTCGTAGTAGGTGCAGGTCCCGTGGGATGTCTTGCAGCCATGTCCCTTGCGAAGGCGGGCTGGTCAGTCGATATTTACGAAGGCCGGCCAGGTATGCCCTATCGTCCCTTCCTTCTGGGTCGCCGTCATTGAATGTGTGGATCCACGAAGACATGCGTCTTCCTTCGTTCAAGGCGGCCGCTCAGCAGCGTTCTATTAATTTGGCCATATCTGCGCGGGGCCTCGCAGCGATACAGGCGATAGACCCAGCCGTGGCGGACCGATTCTTGAGTACTGTTATTCCCATGCGTGGTAGAATGATACACGATGCGCAAGGACGACTCGAGAGCCAGCCTTATGACCGGGATGGGCAGGTGAGCTCTTGGGCCGCTTCGGAAAGCCCGTGGAGGAATTTACTCGTGCCACTTCCGTTCGCCGCCGTGTCGCCGAATTCCTCGCACGGAAATAGTGCATTAACTCGATCGGCCGCGCGTACTTGAATGAGGATCTGTTGGGCGAAGCCTTGTCCATCCCGGGAATCCGTGCATTCTTTCAGCACAAGGTCATCGCAATAGATTTCGATAGCAAAACGATGGCCGTGCGGGACGTCCAGGGTGCGAAGGACGCGACCGTGCCCTTCGATTTTTGTGTTGGTGCGGATGGGAGCTACTCGATCGTACGGCGTCAGCTGATGAGGGTTGTCCGGTGCGTCTATCTTATCGACCCTCAATAATCCCGATCTTCCGTGAGCTTCCTCAGGGATTGCGGACTCCAACTAAACCCACGCCTGACCCAACAGAATGGATTACCAGCAGGAATACATTCCCCATGAGTATATCGAGCTGAAGATGCCAGCGGGTCCGCCGATAGAGCCTGGCGGTGATCTTACTTTTTTGCTCGACCCGAACCACTTGCACATTTGGCCGCGGCACACCTTTATGCTTATAGCGCTACCAAATAAGGTTAAGTGACCCTGTACCTTCCGCTTCCATGCCCCATGGCGGACTCACATTCTGCACGTGTAGGACAAGACATTCACCTGCACCGTCTTCGCGCCCACCGAGGAATTCGACCGTCTCCAGTCTGATGAAGTAATTCTGAGATGGTTCCACGCCAATTTCCCCGACGCCCTGCCCCTCATCGGCGAAGAGGCGCTGCTGCAAGATTTCCATCGGAATCCCCGCAGTGCGCTCATGTCAATCAAGGTACGGGTTTTTCCGTGGTGTTTCGTGTGTCGCCTGCATACGCTGGCTAATAGATATTCACCCCGCGCTCAACTCCACCCTTCTACGGTCCTTGACAACCAACCGCCAGGCGAAGCCGTATCATTACAAGGACAGGGCTGTCATCCTTGGTGACTCCGCTCATTCGATGGTTCCATTTTATGGCCAAGGCCTCAATTGTGGGCTAGAAGACGTCCGTGTATTGCATTCATTACTTCGCGATACAGGGGTAGACCCAATGGTTCATCCTCCGGATAGCCAAGAAGACGCGGCATTGGCCAGTGCGCTCGTTCGCTATTCTGCAAGCCGACACGAGGACTTGGTCGCCGCATGTGAGCTTGCCATGGACAATTAGTGCGCCTATTCTCTTGTTTGTCCCGTATCTGTTGCAACGGAGCTGATTCTGGAACAACGATGGATGGCAGCGTTGAGATGCGACACTCGGTTACTACGCTGGGTTACCGCTTCCGCAAGGCGCTGGATAACCTCCTTTATTCTTTGAACTGGAAGCACGTCACAGCAAAGGACGTCGTTGAGCCGCTTCTCACGAAGACATTCCTGGCCAATCCCGGCGGTTGGCTGCCCCTCTACACCATGGTGACTTTTCGCCCAGATATCAGCTACTCTACCGCTCGGCGAAAATTCCAGCGGCAGTCGCACGTCCTCGAGATCGCTGCCTGGGTCAGCGCGGGCGTGGCCGCAGGCACGGCAAGCATCACATGTGCAAGCATCTTGCGACGGCTGTATAACCGGCCGTGAACGTGTACGAGACGTGGAATGCGGCAGAGTACGATATGCCTTCTCTGTCTATGTAAATTTATGAAACTACCTAGCACGCCCCGCTCTCCGTCTTGTGCAGCCCCTTCGAATTCCCATCGTCTCGAGCCGCGTCTGCAGCCCGCAACCCTGCCTGATAATTAAATGTCGTAACGGTCGCGGACCGCGGGAAAGAGGCCGGCCTGTCAGCGATGGCGATCTTTGCCCTGCATTGTTGTCTATTAGGCGTCCACATGGGTCCGGGTGTTTGGATGGACATTTTGTGAGATTTCGGAGAATTTTTAGCGAGGCCGCCCGCAGGCGGGCAGGCCGCTGCCCCTCTCTCCAGTGCCGAAGGGCTCGGCATGCGAATGTGACTTCCTTCTCCTCCAGTCCTCGTGTTGCTGGGGAACAAGCACTAGGAAATCCAGCGGAGGCGGATGCAAAATCGTTTGGCAGGCTACGCCCACGGTGCGGGGCCTTTGCAGCGGCGGGGCCTAACGATCCTTGTGAAAAATATCGCGTTCGTCACGGGAGCATGGTGATGAATTGCGTTCAAGCTACAGTGTGGGAAAACATGAGGAACAACGAGAGCAGTAGAGGGAAACGTAGCATAGTTCTGAGGCTAATAGGCGCGGGCGGTGGGGAGTGCGGGGTCATAAGCAACGTACGGGTTCATGGGGGCGAGGATAATTATACAAGTACAGGGAGAGTCGAGGGATGGGGAGCAACTTGGTCCCGGCGGTGTCGTTGCGAAGATACATGCGTGGACGATGGCGTGCAGGCAATAGGGGGGGGCGTGTTCAGCTAGAGTCCTTCCGTGGCCGTCCCCGCTTTCTCTTGGGTTGGCTGGGCTCTGCCGCAGTGTCCGCCCCGCCCCCGTCCCCCCCGGTGCGCTCCACCGGGAGGGGGTTCTTACGCGGACGCCCTCTCTTCTTCTTGGGCGGCGCATCTGACGGCTCCCCACTACCCTCATCGGGCTTCTTCTCCTCCTCAGCCTTGCGCTGGGATATATGCAGGTTATATTAGTGCCCGCAATGGAGACGGAGAGCAGAACGGAGTGCGCACCTTCGGGGGCCTCCCCCTTGGCCTGCGCGGAGCGTCCGTAGACGACCCTGCGGTAGACTTGGCGGCCTCAGCGGCGATGGTCTTCTTATTCTTGCTGCCCGGGGGGCGACCACGCTTGCGCTTGGGAGCAGGGTCTTGTTGAGAGGCTAAGATCGCAAGATCAAGCGACAGGGTCAGTAGACGCTTGTCGGTTCAGGGTGGAGAGAGCGAAATGGAGCTAGAAGTGAACGCGCTACCTTCTGGCTCGCCAGAGTCGTCAATCTCGTCGACCTTGGCGTCCTCGCTGGCCGCCCTGGCGTCCTCCGGGGAGTCAGACATGAGGGATGCGATGATTGTAGGGGACGGAGGGCGAGCGGATGAAGGGAAGAAGGAAAACGCGACAAGGGCTCGTTTTAATGAGGAAATGGGCTGGAGGAATTCTCGCGTGCAGAACGCCCAAAACAGGGCTCTATTAAATCTCTCTCGCTCGAACGTCCAGAAGGATTCATCATGCTCGAATTCTGACTCTGTACGTAATTTACGTCTCACTGTCAAGATTCTGAAAAGAGTATGTCAGCTTACACTCTGGCCCGCGGGCGCAAACGGGCTCAAATATTGCCTGGGACGCTCCCCGACCGGGCCCGGGTGGACCGCTGAGGGGTGCCAGGGGCGGGGGCAGGAGACGGTGTCGGCGAGGGCGACTAAAGGCCCCGGATGGTACATGTGAAAGGCCTGATGAGAGTATTCGTCTAAAAATCAGATAACGCCGGCTCACATGAAATGCTTGTGAGCACCTGTGGCCATGGTTTGCAGCCGATCGGCATCATCGTTCGCAGACGGGGCGATAGGCTGTTTCTTATTCGCTGCATGGTATGTCCGATGATGCGTGTACCTGAGCTGACGGCAGATTAGACGCCGAATGCACGTCAGTACACAGTAAGTACCACGTTGTGATTGATTAGACGCCAGCTCGCGCGGGAGAGGAGGCGGGGATTAGGGCGGAGTTGGGTTACTAGTGTGACCCCAGAAGCTACGGATTAAGCGCCTGACCCCAGAAGCTACTGACACGCCTCCAGTTCTCGCATTTCCCTGTCAAAAAGTGTGCACGGGTTACACGCGAGAAGATGTACTTCAAAAATATCATTGTAAAAAACAAAGAAGGAAATCGGAAGGGATTTGCTCCCGATACAAGTCAATCTCAGTAGGGTTTCAAGGGTTTACTGACCTTGGTGAGCTGCCACAAAAAGATCTGCAGCGCCGATCTTTCTGTAACTTCGCAAAGTGTTCTGAACATTCTCAATAAACTTTCTTGTTCAGTCTCCGAAGGGTTCCGGGTTGCAGTATTCGAAAGATAGGAAGAGGTCTCTCGAGCGTGACATTCAGCCACTGACCGAGATAAAGCTGACTTTCAATCTGAGCGCTTCGACAATGTTGCCCCGGCCAACTTCGCTATCAAACGACTGATAACAGCGGTGTTTGAATCGGCAGTCTTCGGCATTGTGACCATCCATGACAATCTATGGGCGCTTTTCCGTAGCTTCTGGGGTCAGACGTGTAATTCCGCGATGCTCAATGCAAACCTCCACCGATTTTCTTCATATTTCACCCATATGTACTGTCCAGGATGCAAGTGAAGTGTGCGAAGTCTGAAATGTATTGGAGAGGAAGGGAGGGAGATATCCATGAAATACGTTATGGGTCGTAGCTTCTGGGGTCATGCTAGTATCGGCCGCGATGTCGGGGTGGACGGCTGCCGGATTCGGATGAAGAGCAGCGTGGTTCCTGTCTGCGAGGCGGTGGGTGCGAACCCATCCGACATTGCTCTTCCGGGCGTCTCCACCAACACCAGCGCATACATCGCACTTCAGCCACTTGCCGCTCAAACACAACGCTCTGCTCCCGGCTACGTCTCTCCTTGCCCGTAGCTTCCTCGCCACGATGCTTCATGCCGCACTGATCCCGCTATCGCTCTGTCTGCTCGTCTCTGCCCGCCTCCACCATTCCCGCGTCCCCGAGGATCCGTTCGCGTTCCCCAAGTACCGAGTCTCATTCCTCAATGGTCTCCCCGTCTCCAACGAGACTGCCCAACGCTGGCTACACGAGGGCCTTCGCGGGGGTGATCTCGAGTTCTTTGGCCAGCCGTGGTCCGAGTCTCCATCGCCAGCGAGCATCGAAGGCACCGACGACGGTCTGTCCAATGTCTGTACACAGTCTCCCTCTGCTGCTGCACCTTCAGCGTGACTTCATCGCCTCTTTTCGCGCAGGCAGCCCGGCACCGTTACACGAATCACAAGCTGCAAAAAATGAAGCTCAGCCCCAAGTCCGATTTTCTGTGTCTTATCCCGCCGCCGCCGCAGGAGAACCCTGTGGTCGAAGAACCCGCGAGCGAGGTCGCTACGCCGGTCCACAGCTGGTCCCTCCTCCAGCCCTTATCTGGAACGTGCCTCTACGTAAGTGTGCGCCTGCGATATGAATTGACTCGCGTCGCCAAAGCCCCGATCACAGCACCGGCAAGGGTGGTTCACATACTCGTACTGTCATAATTCCCATGTCCGTCAGTTTCACGAGCTGCACCACCAGCCCATCCCCACTACAGGTGACGTTTCATTCGCCCTTCACCCTATCGCTGAACGGGTGTGCTGACCGGAATTATATTGGCTCCAATCGGCCGCGCCTCGATCTCCCGTCTGCAGGCGAGTATAAGCCAGAAGAGGATCCGGAGGTAAGCGAGTCGCACCGCGTGACCGCGTGCAAGCCGTGTTCATGAGTTCTTCTTTGACACTCGCGCCGTGTCGCAAAGTGGGAAGCATACACGCTCGGAAGGGCGCCCCCCACGCTCGAGACCGGAGCCGAGCTGACGACGGCCGAAGCCGCTGCTGCAGCGAATCTCGAGCTGGCCCGGGGGGCCGGCTCGCGCTACCTCGTCCAACGGTGGGGGGATGGCACGTATTGTGATAAAACCGGTCGGAAGCGGGAGGTCGAGATTCAGGCAGGTCGCCTTCTGCTCTCCGCCTGCGTTATAACCATGCTCACGCGGCCTCTTACTCGTTACCCTTCCCCCGTCCCCCGATCGCGTGCGCATGTCTTGGCCTTGTATTATTCCGGCGACCTCTCGTGCAGTTCCACTGCTCGATGACGATGACCGACACAATCCTCTTCGTCAAAGAGACGCAGACGTGTCATTACGTCCTGCACATCGCCACCCCTCGCCTCTGCGGCGAGCCCGGGTTCAAGAGCCGCATCGACGCAGAGGAGGAGCACGTCATCCGCTGCCGAGAAATCGTCAGCGCGGCCGAGCTCGAGCGCGTCGATAACACACTCCCCCCCGCCGCGTATCCCTTCAAGCGGCCGAAGCCGCAGAAGAAGGTCATTGCGCCTCCGCCGCCGGCACCTGAGGAGCGGAAGGACAAGGATGGCGCTAAGAAGGGCTCGGCGGACGGAGCCTTGCACTCCGACGTCTTACGCAGGGCGCTGCAGCAGCTTCTTGCGCAGCGGCAGGGTGCCCAGGTCGGGGACCAGCACGTCTTCGTCGAGCAGCTCCCGGATGGCGAGACGGAGTTCCTCATCGAGTTCGTCGACGTCGACCTCCCTGAGGGAGAAGGGGGCGCCGACGACATCTTCTCGGACGATAACCTCCACGACCGGCTGCAGGACGTCCTTCGCGCCGCGGGCTACGATATCAGAGGAGGAAAGCCCGCTCCGGACACCCGGACCCACGAGCCCGACGACGACGCAGAGGCCCAAGAAGACAGAGCGAAGAAGCACCGAGACGAACTCTGACGACGACGGTAATTAGCTGTATGTACGCAGGGCCACAGAAATGACCGGGGCAGGCGCCTTCCTTTCTGCTCTCGCCTGTACTAGCTGCACGGTTCTCGACGCCCGCGTCGGCCTCATGTGCTTGCTGTAATACCTAATAGGGCTCGGTCTGGACGTCATTTCGCTTTGGGAATCTCTGCGGGCGTCGTGCCGTGGCGTGCTGAGCTAGAAGTCCCTGCGACTCACTTAACCGCACGCCGCTGTCCGCCCCGCCTCTAGAAGGCCGGGCGTGCATGTGCTCTCCCCCTCCGGTGAATTCCCCTTCTTCGCGCTCTCCCCCCGCGATGTCCACGGAGCAGCAGCGCTTGTACGATCGCCATGTTCGCAATGACTGGGCTAGAACAGGTACAGACGTCGTGAGCACTGTGCCCATTGGCTAGAGCTATCTCTTCAGGACGTAAGCCAGAGAGCGAAGTGCCGTCCTTTCGTGCGCCAGCGAGAAGACGGTGGTGCTGACGGGTCCGGTCGGAGCTCCACGGAGATCGTGGGCGCCATCTACAGGCACGGTGGTGCGAGAAGCTGCCAAGCGTTGTATGCGGGGTGGTGATCACTTTCAGTAGGAGGATGCCTTCTTTGAAGACTCGCCATGACCGTACCTCGATGTTCCAACGCTTTGCGAGTCCATGCTGCGACCAACCCGCCTCATAGGCGTGCCGTTTTCGTCTCTCCAGACGCGAGTGCGAGCACACCAAAATCCGTCAAGTCAGGCATGGCGCGTATATATGTGCAGGCGATGTATTGGTGTGAGATGTACGCGTACAATTACACGACCGCTCTTTCTAGTATCGTAACTTGTACAAAGAGATCTCTGTTCATTTTGTGTTCTCTGTCTTTGGTCTTTATACGCAAGCCGTCACGGGAGTCCTGACTTCGAGAGCCCGTGTGCGGCAGCGCGGAAAACAGACTCCGCCGAGGCGAGCGGGCCCGCAAGAGGTCATCGAAAGGTCCGAGTGTGGTCAAGGAGGGAGGTGGGAGGCGGGATGCGGGAGATGCGGCAAGGACGGGGGGAAGAGGGAGCAAGATGCGTGCGGGGGGATATAGGATGGTAGTGGTATGCGGCGTGGCGTGGCATGACGTGGAGTGGATGAGAGTGGAAACGGTGGACCAGAAGGCAAAGACCCAGGATGATGACGGCGACCCACGAACGACTAAGGCAAGGGCAGCGGCTGGAGCGAATGTAAATGCAAGAATGTTCGGGCGGAGGTGGCGAATGCGCCAGGAGTGCAATGGAAGGAGGGAGGGAAGGAGAGAGGGAGGGGCTGGCGCAGACGAGGACAAAGCGAATGTGTGTGGACTGTATGTGAGATGGAGCAAAATATAACGACTCGTCGTCTATGCACATAACTAAAGTAAAGGTAATAGGAGCTGCGCAGATTAGGCGCACGGAAGAATAATAGATATATAGAGCAACAGAGGAGAGCAGAAGAATATGAGAAGCGAGAGAATGTGGGGGTGGCACGCACCGAAGCCGAGATAAATCGCAGCAGGCAGGATATACTGAGACGCAGGCGGTGGTGAACAGGCGTTGCCGACACATAGCAACCGCGGGAAGGCGGGAAGCAAAGCTCCCAGCCTCGACGAGGCCGCGGCGCGACTCGACCGCCCCCACTCGCACAGCGTCGCAGCCGTATACATAGAGCAGCCCCACAAACGATCCTAGAAGAACCGCCTCTTGTGATGCTTCTCGTCGACGTCGACCTTGAGGTGGTAGTGCTGCGGCTTAACGCCCTCGGTCGAGCACGGCACGATGCTCTTCAGCCACGGGTCGCCCTCGTCCTCCTCCTCCGGTGCACAGCAGTGGTCCTGGCAGCGTGGGCTGTCCTTGTCGTGCGAGTTGCAGCCGCACAGCAGGTCGTTCGACTTGCCCTTGCCCTTCAGGAGGTCCGTGAGCGTGCAGCGCGCGGACGGCTCGACGAAGAGCATGCGCCGGATCGCCGGGCGCGACTCGCGCGGCAGCAGCCGGAAGATCGTCTCCGCGCCCCCGGTCGAGAACGTCGCGACGGAGGTGATGCTGGACGTGCGCGGGCGGGGGCGGCGCACGGTCGTGCTGGTGTCCTTGGCTTCAGGCTTCGGGCGGGAGGGCGTCGGCGTCGAAGGGGTCTCCTTCGTCTCCTCGGCTGCCTTCTCTGCCTCGGTGATCTTCTCCTGGACGGCGACGACGGCAGCAAGCTCCTTCACCTTGCCGTTGACGTCGCCGTTAGGGACCGCGAAGTCTCGAGTCTTCACCGGACTCGACGACGCAGCCGGTTCACTAGCCTCCGGTACCGTCTGCGGCGCGGGCTTGGCAGTATCAACGGCAGGAACAAGCGGGTGCGCGGTGTTCGATCGATGATGAGCACCGAGGTGAGGACGCTGCTTGGCAAGGTCCGAGGGAGCCAAAGTGGGAGACACGGGGAGGGACTCCGTCGACGACCCGGGGCGCGGGTAAGTGAGAACGGAGGGGTCCAAGTCTTGCGGGCTGTCGACGCGGTCGATGGGGGCCATCTCGCTGAAGAGCGCAGGAAGCGTCTGCGTCGACTGCGAGATCGCGCCGGCGTGGAGGGACGCACGAACCCGGTTCGTACGGAGGGTCCGCTCGTACTCCTCGCGCTCCTCCGGCGTCATCGCCTCGGTCATTGACGGCGCGGTGAGCTCGGTACTATCTGAGCTCGACGTGTCGGCCACGGATGCCTGCTCGGCCTCGAACAGCGATGCCGGCGCAGAGCTCTCCGGGACGGTGGAAGAAGCGGCGACGGACTCGGTGATTGACAACGCGGTATCCTGGTGCGCCGGCTCCTTCGCCTTCTCCGCCTTGTCCTCATGCTTGGCCTCGATCTGCCTGGGTGGTGGCTTGACGGACAGATCTGGGTGCGCGTTCACGAAGGCCCGGAAGCTAGGGTCGACCTTCGGGTCGGGGATCTTCCAAGGGAAACGGCGAAGGATCATGCACATGAAGATGATGGCGACGCTCCAGACGTCCGTCTTACGAGGGTCGTAGCTATCCTGAGACAGCACCTCTGGTGCGAGGTAAGGGTCGCTGCCGACGATACCCGTTGCCGGCGTCGTCTTCTTCCCAGGGTAGTGGAAGACGGTCGCGGTCCCGAAGTCAATGAGCTTCACGACGTTGTCCTTGGTCATGACGCAGTTGTCCAGCTTGAGGTCACGATGCGCAAGACCGAGCGAATGGAGGTACTCGACACCGTCGCAAATCTGACGGAAGACGCAGTAGATCTCCGGGCGAGTCATATTGCCCGACATGACGACGCTGAACAAGTCGTACGGCGCATACTCCATGACCTGCGGAGCGCAAGGGCAATGCGACGCACACGCCGAGAATCAGTCATTCACGCTCGTCCCCCGCATCGGCCACCGGGCCAAGCCAGACACGCACCTCATAGTAATGCCCGTGATCGGTGACGATGTCCACCGTCTCGATGATGTTCGGGTGCTTGAGCGTGCTGCCCACGCAGAACTCCGCAGTCACCTTCTTCTGGTACTCCTTCTCTGACTCGCCGTGTCGCTTGGGCCTGAATTCCTTCACAGCGAACGTGGTGCCGCCGTTCTTGCTCGAGGCCTTGATGAGACGCACCGTGCCGCCAGCACCGGAGCCCAGCACACGCCCCCACTTCCCGTACTTCTTCGACATCTGCACCTGTGTCGCCTGCGATAAGGAAGCGGCGGCATACGGTGCGGAAGAGGCGGTGGAGGCTTGGCGTTTGCGACCCTTGCGGTCACGCTGGTCTTGATGCTTGTCAACTTTTGACACCATCGAGCTGGCGGCCACAGAATGAGAATTGCTCGTCTGCGAGTGCAAGGAGTGCGGGGGTGAACCAGAGCTTGTTTCACTCCTCGCGGAAACGCCGTCCGGAGACGGGGTCTTCGCGACCTTACGAGGCTCGTTTAGTCTCTCGTCATCGTTAAGCTTCGACTTCTCCTTGTTATGGTGGCCACGCAGGAGCGCAGACAACCGGCCCTCCTTGTGCTTGACCTCGCCGACGATGGTAAGGTGGTCCTGGGACACGTTGGCGGAAGCAACAGTCGACCCGTCTGGGGTGTCTGGAGCAACTAGCGTAGACGAGGTCCCTGAAGTGGGGACTTCGAGACTGGCGTATTCACCCGGAGACGCGCCTGCAGAGGCAGCCGGAGATCCATGATGTGAGTGGGGTATATGGTTGTTTAGGAAACGTTTCAGATCATGAAGCGGGCCATGAGAAGGCTTGGCGTGCCTGTGGGCGAGCGTCGCTGAGTTGTTGACGGGTGTGGAAGGGGTTGTTGGCGGGTGAGTAATGGAAGCAGACGGCGGAGCGTTTGGTGGCACATCGCGTTCGGGCGAATTGCGCGAGGCAGGACCTGCAGAGCTCGCGGGTGAGGTGATCAATGGTGCACTCGCCTTACGGCTCCCGAAAAGAGTCCGTGAGGAGGACGGGGGCTGCTGGTCAGGGAATTCTGAGGTCGGGCTGGCGGAAGTAGGGGAGCTATGAGGGGAGGGAGACCTCTTCCTGCCGAAGGAGGTGGAGAGGAATCGCGATGGACGCCTCGAGGGGGAGGGAGCCTGGGTGGGCGAGAGCAGGAAGGGGATGCAAAAACATGAGCACGCGGTCACGATTAGGAAACGAGAGGAAGGGTGGTAGGGAAAGAGTTCGATAGGGCGGAATATGAAGAGCGGTATAAGGCACAAACCTGCTCCTTGGTTGGTGTAGTCACTGGTTGATTAGCGGGAGTGGGCGGGACAGGAAACGCGACCTCATGATGGTTTGGGGACGGGGACTGGATGGCGATTGCGGGGGATGGGGGTGCGAGAGAAGCAGAGGGCTGGGGTTGGGATAGCGTTGTGGGGGAATGGCGTGAGGCAGGATGTGATGCGGGGATGGTGAGGTCGAGAGGCTGGATGACCTTCGCGGACAGCATGATGGGTGCAGGAGGAAGAGGAAGGGAATTGTAGAGAAGGCGGAGATGGGGCAGGTGAGGGAGGATGGAGAGGGAGGGTGACCAAGGGCGAATTAGGCCAAGACAACGATGGGGCAGTCCGACTTGTTATGCGGCGCGCATCACTTCGGCTCAATCTCAGATCCACCCCCCCCCGGTCCGGCTCTCTGTCCGTCCCCGATTTCTGCCAGCTTCCTCGCCCGCTGCACAACGACCACGACCCCAGCCCCAGCCCACTCCCCGACTGCGCCCTGCGTTCCGCACTGTTTCCTGCGGTGACCAGCCCCAGTCCACGCCCCGCCCTGCGCGCAAACCCGACGGCCACAAAGAAGACGTCATCGTTTGCGATCTGTCACTCCCCCATATTCATCCTTCGGCATCACAAGCCGAGTCCGTCGCCCGTGTCACGCGTCTCTCTCCCGCTTTTCATCGACGCTTGCTCACTCGCTCCAATCCTCTCATAGATCCTCGCTCTCTCTCCTCTTCCGTCATGTCACGCCCCACCACCGAGTGGCCCTTGCGCCTTGTATGCGCCGCGCGAGGTGCTACGCTCACGCATCCTATCTGCAGCCTTTTATTTTTTTCGCCAGACTCCGAGCACACGCTGCCGCTTTCTCCCTCCAATCGGCTTCGTCTGATCGGCCGTCCCATACGTACCACCTGTGACTATCGCTCGCTGCCTTACTTATCATTCGATCCCTTCTCCCATACTTTCCCCCGATCCACCCGCTGCTCCTCCGGCCCACCCCGTCTTTGGTGTGCTCAACGTTGGAGCGGCTTGGCTTTGCAGCGTTCAATTTTCTCATCCCTCTATATCCTCACCCATTGACAGCCAAGCCACCCGAACGCCTGACACTCCACGCATCTGGGAATATTGCGCCTTGCCGCAGTCTCTCGACCGTGTACTTCGCTTGCTGCGATCGAAGCCTGTCTTCCAAAGAACGCTGTGGTCTCAACCTACTCGCCACACGTCGCCGCCAAGGCGTAATCATCACTCGACTGAACGCCGAGTAATAAGCTCAGCCATACGCGTTAAGCGCTCTTTGCTGCTTCCTATGCTCGACCGCGACTCGCTATCACGAGCTCAGGGCTCGTCTCCGCAGGCTGCTCGCCGAGCATTCCATGAGATATCGACGATCTTCTTGCAATTGCCCGATTGGCCTTCGTCGCGCATGTGCGATCCCCTCCTCCTCACAGGCTTATCCTCGACCAGTCTCAGGCTGAGATACGCTTGACAGGGACGTAAGGACGCGTTAGTCAGCCTTGCGTTTCGCACGGGCTGTCCGTCGCCGCTCGCCCATTCGCTTCTTATGCACCCGAAGTGGGCACTCCAACCTCTTGTCAAGCACCGTTTTGTCTGCCTACGCCCTGCGGACATTATGCGGACTCCCGGTAGTCCGCTCGTCCGCGCAGTCCTGTAATAACATCGTCCTTTGGCAGACATGGTAGGCATCCGCACTCCCGGACATTCGCGATTACAATCATAAGATCCTCCGAGCTCGCCTCCGACGTCTGGGCTCTGCATTTGCGATCCGCACGACGCGCGCTTTATCTTACGGTTTGTTTCTCTCCACACTTCTCCACACCCCATTGGTTTCGAGCTGCTAGACCGGCGGCCCCGCCTACCACCCGCCGCCATATGGCTCCATAGGAGTCGCCACAGCCTATACGTCACTTTGTAACCTCGGGCTGACTACGCAGCTCCGGGTCAGTACCTTCTCCTCACAGCAGCGAGTGAGTCGGAGTGACATGTAACATGCACGCCCGTCCCGGTGCCTGCGGGGCGCGCGTGCCTTGCGCGCGCATGCTCCTGTCACGCAACTCGAGACCGCCGCGCGCACAACGCGCGTGCGCCCTCGGCCGATAACGTCATTCAGATTACTGCCAGCCCACGGCCCACAGCGGTGCGTATCTTTGTGCGTCATGCGAATATCTCCTGTCTCTTGTCAATTGTCTTCCCCGCCAGCTGTGGTCCAGCAGCAGTAGCAGCAGCGCGCGCGAGCGCGCCGAGACGCGTGAGAGCTGTACGTGCAAGCGACGAGCGGCCGACCACCTCGAGGCGCGTCACGGTGTGGAGCAAATCCTCGGACCTTCATCCGCACCTCGAAACGCGAGGTGCCTCCACAACGCCGCCGCTAAGCTTATGTTGCGGAGACGTTACGTGACCGCCTGCCTGCGGACGACCACCACGCGCCCCGCGCGGGGTACTCGTCGGTTCACACCGAGCATCGCAAGAACGCGCATTCGTACCGTGATACATAATGCGGCCATGACCCATGGTCCAATGCCGTAAGCAGGAATCCAGGGAAGGCGGCATACGGTTTGATGCCCTGTGCACGCGCATTTATTCTGGTGCAGTATACTCCGGCATCGCGGCGCGCCGCCACCCCAGGGATGGCCTTCCTTCTGTCGCAGCTCTATGTTTATACAGGCACAGATTCGACACCGAACAGGGACTTGGACCTATTCAGGCGTGTATAGTGTTCTATAGCACCCGCCTATGCTGGTGCGGACGGATACGAGCACAGATGAGTACCGTACTTCATGGCACTCGCATCGACGCTATAGCCCAGCAAATCCACGCGAGCATCCGCGGCAAGTGCGCATCGCGCACCAGCGCGCGTCCCATCCCTCACGAGCTCGGCCCAGCCTCCCGTTCTCCCCGCAGTGGACAGCTTCCCCGCAGGCCAACTGAGTCAGAACATGACAGAAGAGCTCCTTCGCGGGAGGTCAGGTGTTCCCTGCCCATCGCCTCCCTTATTCCCCCTCTACGCCCCTGGTGCGGCGTTGGTGCGCACGCGGATTTTACGCGAGGCTCGCCAGGGCCGTGCGGTGGGCGTATGCGTGGACGTTGCCCCTTTCGGGTCGTGGTGCATAGCGCTACGCCTGGCATCGTTATGTGGGCATGGTTCCGATCTGTGTATGTTCCGCTGATGCACGCTCTGGGGTGTCCTTTACTCAACGTGAAGGATGTCGCCGCGGGCTGCCACTGGGCCGCCATGATGATTGACGCCCTTCTGCTCTAGCCTGCAGGTTGGTTCGTAAAGGCGGGACGTCTCGCGCTGGACCCTGTCGCAACAACGTACTGAGTATCTGACGTCAGACAACCACTCATGTTCGTTCTGGCTGTGCAAGCGTGCTCCCGGGCAGTTGTCATCACCATCCCGCGTTTCCGGCTCGACATACGTCTGCGACGTGCGGCCTATCACGGAGTCGCGCGAACGACAAGCTGACCGATGTTGTAGGCTTGTCGTGGCGTAAAGAGCTACGTGCCGCGACGGGTGTACACAGTGCGCGCGATCCCCGACGGTCTGGATCAGGACGCCTACATCAAGGTCCCAGGACGGTCTTTACGGGATGTATCAGGGAGTCGCACTACTTTTCTCGGGGCTCGGAGAGGTGCGTTCATGGCTGCATGTATCACAAAGATCCATCAACGTAGTGCATGTTGAGCGCTCGTCGCCGCTGACAGTACTGATCCCGTATTGTTACTTAGAACGCTCGACGGCGGCCTGGAGCCCTTGCTCTATGACATGCGATAACTCGTTGCAGCCTCGTTGTGCATCGACCTTGGTGGACCTCGTTAGGATAGGCGCTGTCTACATCTCAAAGTCCATCCATATATGCCTTGAATTCGCAGGTATGTTCTGATCCTCACACAGGGCGTGCGGCCGGTTATAGAGCTTCTCGGCTCGGAGTCGTATGCCGACATGTCTGGGCCTCCTCCGACTCCCACATTCACGCCCATCGTAGTCTGCTCGGAAGCTACGGAGGAGAAGACAGGGAGTTCCGTCGGTTCGGACTTCGGGGTGTAGCGCTTCGCATACGCGGAACAACCATGCGCGAGGGTCTGCCTCCGAAGTCCGAGCACTGTGCTGATGTCTGGAACGCCGACTTCGAATGTGTCTCCAAGTAGGTGTTCAGTTCATGCGATGCTCCTGTCAAGGTAATGACTTTTGACGGTGCCAGCCTGTACTTACTCCTGAGTCCCAAGCCAACGTCGGGTGCTTTGACAAGCACGGTATGTTATAGCAAGCGTTGCTTTTGGGTCACTCGGCGAGAATACAATGAACACACGCACTATGCCTGACAAAGCTGTGTTGAGTTCCGGCAAGCGACTTGCCTTCTATAACGTGTTTGCTGGTCTTTCTTGCAGAATCAGGGACAGATGGGCGCATCTGATACGACAGGCCAGCGGCTCCTCCACTCCTGCACGCATGTCTTCTAGTCGAGCTAGAAGGCTCGTGGTCGGCTCGCCACGACGCCCTTGCCTTCCGTTTTCCGTGCCGAGTGACACGCTTCCTACATTCCGCGATACGTTGCGAACGATGAGAAATAGGGGCGTTGAGGAGTATATGTGGCCGTTACATCCGAATATCGGACCCGAGGCCGATTGACACTTATTCGCGCTCATCGACCTGATGTTTCGTATGTCTCACCTCACAAACTCACACGCACAGACGACTTTCTGCGAAGTCGAGATCAACGTCAATATAAAGCGGTCCAAAGTGGACAGTCAGATGGTCCCACTGCGTCCTGAAGATCAACGTATTCGCCCACAGTAGCCTACGTGAGCTTCCTACGGCGTTGAGGCACGCTTCGGTGCGAGTCTGTGAAGGGGTATTGCAAAAGAGTTTCGGCATGATTACCAATGCCCCATTCTATGCATCCTCAGCGCGATCGATACGACGGCGTCGCCTTCGGCTTCGGAAAAACACACTGTGCGTACTTAACCCGCCCGAGCCAGCCATCAGACTGCGCAGATTGTGCCCGTGTGCCTTCTCCGTTTTTGTGGGTGAACCGTGGCGGACCGGCCGCATATGGCTCTTGCAAGCGCCTCGCCGTCATCGCGGAATATGTTCATTAGTCTGATCTCAACCTCTTTGCCACTGAGAGCCACACCGATGACACATGTCCGAAATAACTCACTCGCCGCTGACCAGAGTAAGCTCTCCTCCTCGGGCTGAACGTTTGTCCAAGCCTTGAGCAAAAGCAGGCGCCAGGATCGCAGATGTGTGTCTCTGACATGCATAAGTAGGACACATCGGACAACGTCATGCAGGTTGTGCCATAACCTGAACGATCGAGAGGCCGGGTCTGCCCGCAGGCGGTGCCTGACCTGATCGAAAGTGAATCCGGTGGCGAGCCCCCAAGTCCGCTGCGTTCGGGGTATGCGAGTCGGTCGATGTTCGGAGGCCTATGATACATAGCAGCTTACAGATCTTGCAAACCGCTCTGAAGAACACTTGAATTTATGATCTGTGCCTTTGTCCCGCAATAGGCCTAGGATCGCCCTCCTCGAATACAGGATCAGTAGCTTACCTTAGCGTCATTGCCGGTTGACATCTCTCCTAGTTCAGTACCGACAAGCGCAGCGGGTGCAGAAGGGTTGCAGAACCCGAGTGACGGCCGCATACCTGAATGCCAGTGGACGGTGCACTTTGTCCCGAAACCCCAACATCCCGACAGAATTTTGACGCCGAGTTGACGACGTGTGCCTCTCGGTAAAGACGTTGGTGGTTGATGGTGGTGTTTTCCAAGAACGCCCGAAGGCCGCTCGTCCGGCCCGAGTGCCTTTGTGCCGAGCGATCGCGTGGTTTGGCCTTGTAGGGCGCTGTGTAACCAAATGAGAACGCCAAGCGGCCACGAGCCACGAGGCCATCACAAGAGGGGCCAACGATGAGTCGTATATACGTGAACAATTCAGCTTAGGCAATCTGCTGAGTTTACTTTGGTGGTCGGTGAAAGGGCTGACACGTCGCAAACGTGGATCCACACACTGCAGATCCACAAGCCGCATACCTTACCAATAGAGTGTAGGTCAAGGCGCGACTAGTGCCTCTTCCGTCAAGGAGGCTACGCTGAGCTCTACATGTACAATGTACGTTTGTGCAAAACGGCTAGGCATAGGTTCGATCTCTGAGGCGCTGATAGCATGCACGCACCAAACGCAAGTGGATACGACGTGCCCAGCATTCCGAATCACAGCGACGATCAGCCCTGGTCATCGGCATCTCTCTTCCTCTTCATCTCCCTGGACACCTTGTGCTGAGCGGCCTCATGTTTCGCGAGCTCGATAGGGACCTTCGACACCGGGCTCTTGGAAATCTCTGTAACAAAGAAAATGGAAGTATATAGATTAGCCGACTCATTCTTGAGGAATTGCCCAAGTATGGGTACGTGCCTTGCTTGAGATCGTACCTGCACATCAGAACATGTCAAGTAAGCGTGAGCCTCATGGTGTCGGTGAACAGGGACGTACATGACTTCTTCGTCGTCATTTGAGAGAAAGGTGATTGCTGTCCCTTGCTTGCCAGCACGACCAGTACGGCCTGGAGGTGTCATTGGCTCAGCCTTCTTCCATGGCTTAGAGTAATGCAAGGAGCACATACCGATACGGTGAACATATGCCTCAATGGTGTTGGCCATCTGATAGTTGATGACCAGCGTGACGTCTTGCACATCAATACCGCGACCCGCGAGATCTGTAGCCACGAGAAGATCCGCGTCTCCAGTCCGGAGAGATTGCAAAGCGGCTTCTCGCTGTTCTTGGTTCTTTCCCGAATGGAGGGTAGCGGCGTTCCACTTCGAAGGGGGCGTGAGCGGAAGCGAAGGTCAGAGAAGTGCGGGTACGTACTCCAGCTCTCTGCAGATCCTTGGCCACCATATCGGCCGTCTTCTTTTGGTTGACGAATACGATGATGGGTGATGCGAACTGCCCGCTGTTGAGAATTTCGAGCATGCGTTGTCTGCAATGACAGAGTCAGCTTTACGCCCTCTAGACGTAAGATCGGAGAGTGCCCACTTCTTCTTCTCATCTCCACTGACGAATTCAACTCTCTGCTCGACCGTGTCAACGGCCTTACCGGCCTCACCGATGGTGATGATTGCAGGCTTCTTCAGGTATTTCTTTGCTAGCCGTTCGACCGGTGGAGGCATGGTGGCAGAGAACAGGGTAGTTACACGATTCCTACCCTTCTTAATCATTGTTTCGCCATCGATGTCCATTTGTTCACCCTGGTCTTCGCCTTCCATGGTGTCCGACGGGAGCTTGTCCAAGATGAAGGTTAGGTCGGCCTCGAAACCAAGGTTCACCATACGGTCCGCTTCGTCCATGACGACGTAACGGCATTGTGAGAGGACGATGACATGCCGCTCGATGACATCCTTGAGACGACCTGGCGTTGCGATGATAATCTCGGCACCAGAGCGTAGGTTGAACTGCTGTTCTTCTACCGAACGCTAGATACGTGAATCCGATTAGAATGAAATGGCACGATAGGTAAACAGAATCATTGATACGTACACCACCGACGATGGAGACGGACGTGAACCCCAGGGGACCGGCAAACTTCTTCGTCTCGGACTCGATCTGTTGCGCCAATTCACGCGTCGGCGCAAGAATGAGCGCATACGGACCAAGATGTCTGATGTCATCGGTGAACGGCGGGAGCTTCGAGATGAATGCCAACATCGGGATGACGAAGGCTGCCGTCTTACCGGATCCTATGTAGACTAGTTAGCCACTGTGAACAGACCGAGTTAAGAGGTAAACCCACCAGTCTCTGCGATACCGATGATGTCCCTGTTTTGCAGGCCGATGGGGATGGCTTGCCGCTGGATAGGCGATGGCTCTTTGTAGCCGATCTGGTCAACGATATCGAGAATCTCAACCGGTATGGCGGATTCCCTCCAGGACCGTATGGGATACGGAATTTGTCCACCTAAACGAAGGCATCAGGACCATGATCCGTTTGAGAATACCGAACGAAACACCAACCTCTTGCAGCGATGCTGAAGTCCTCGCGGAAGATACGCCAATCGCGCTCTTTCATCTCATCCAATGACTTCTCCGACCAATGCCTCTCGTCAATGCCCGTCCTGGCAGCCCTCCTTCTCTCCAAGGGGTCTGCCAAAACCATACCCTCTGCACCGCTTTTTCGCCCTGGCACCACCGCGCCTCCAGCGTCGTCCATGCCAGCAATATGACCGCGCCCAAAGCCGATCTGGGCACCCTGACGCTGGCTGCCAATGGCCGCTGGCGTCTCGGCGTTATACGTATCATCTTGCTCATCCCAGTCAAAGACGAACTTGCGGTCGTTCATCTTACGGATCTTGCGCTTCTTCTTGTCCACACCGAGATACCGGGATCGAATAGCGTCCAAGTCATTGCTGGTTATAGGAGGGTCGTACGATTGGGAAGCCTCTGCCAAGACCGAGCTGCTGCTTCCATTCGACGCACCCGAGGGAGGAGGCGGTGGCGGCATCGAAGAGGTTGAGGACGAGGCAGGACCAGTGGGTGTGGCCTTTCCGCGGTCTGCTCGGGGGCCTGTAGGGACGCCTTGCAAAGAGCTTCCCCCTCCTCCCCCAGTTCCTCCTCTGCGGTCTTCGTGCGGTGGTGGCCGCCTGTCGCGGTCCCCCCGCCGGCCATAGCGGTCGCCTCGGTCTCGATCCCTGTCTCGGTCGTACCGGTCATCGTCTGTGAATGGGAAGTGAGCGAATGAGAAACAGACATAGATTGGACACGTACTACGACCGCCACCGCCGCCATACCGCGAAGCACGTTCCCGCTCCCTTTCCCTGGCTCTGATCTCTTCCGCTTCCCGCTCAAGGGCCTCACGGTCTCGCTTAGCACGCTCTTCCTTCTCTCGTTGCTCCTTGATCTCCTGCGCACGCTTCTGGATAGCCAATTGAGCGCGCTGCTCCTTTGTGAGGAACTTGGGCTTTGCACAGCAACCGTGCGTTAGTGACCGGAAAGGTTGAGTGAAAACAAGGCATACCTTCGCAGCAGCCTCCTTCTCCTCGCGTTGTTTCTGCAGCAGCGACTCAATTGACAATGGCTCCGCACGTGCAGCCATATTGTGGATGCGTTGTGAAGGTCGTGAGTAGGCTTAGCGGAGGCACAGCGACAAGTTCCTCGCAGACTCGAGGCCAGAGTCCCGCCCAGCCACGTGCCACAAAGTCAGGCGTATCAGGCAAATATGCGTTCGTTTGTGGCTTGCATCGTCTTAGACTTTTGCCACTGCAAGGCGCACCTGGGCTGCCGCCGTTTCCTCTAAATCCTCGTCCGTTCTCATACCCACTTTGAGATTCCTTACGCGCGCCCGGGTTACGATGTCCAAATTGCACCGCGATATAGAGGAGCTCCGGAGCGGTACTCAGTCTCCGCGCCCTGAGACGCCTGAGCCGGACTCGAGACAGGGCAGACGGAACCGCCCCGAGGCAGGGGTGCAGCTTCTAGACGATGATGGTGCTGTGTCGCTGCAGGTGCGTAGCATTGTTGCGCGAACTGCGTGTGTGGATTTAGGTTGACATGGACTGTGCAGTTAGAGTCGTGTTTGAAGCATATCTTTGCGAAGTACTGCACACCGAAGGCGTCCGCGCAGAGGCATGGGGAGCTCCTTGAGCCACCGGAGGGCGCGTACCTATCACCGGAAGGACTGGACTCCTGGGCGCGAGATACGAACGGCGCGCCGTTCGATGATGCAACTAAGGAGGAGCTGCTGGAGTTCATGGATGTAACAGACAATGGAGGCTTGACGTCGGTCATATTTCCTTGATGTGGCGAGTGCGGTTCTCTAATACTCTTTCTAGATTCAAAGGTTTCATGCAAGTCTACCAGTTGCAAACGGAGAATGACGAAGAAGAAACTTGGAGAGATCTCGTGAGTATTGGTACATTGCACTCAGCCACGACAAGTCCTGATGATACAAGTCTGCACACGGCTTTGATCGAACACTGCGGCTCGTAGCTACTAGAAGGGAAGACAGTGACAGCGACCCTCGGTTTCCTGCGCAAATATCGTGAGTGGCGCGTCTGACGCATGATGACCATGTCTTGATTGTTACTTGACAGTTCATAGCAGGGAGCGTCCCATGCATCTTCCATAGTATCGCGACTGCTACCGAAGCTCAATATCGCGTCATGCGGCCTCGTCTTGGCATGCATGAATACTTCTTATGGGTATGCTACAGATGTTCGGGCAGGGGTCCCATGCACCTCGCTATGCAGCCGTCGCCGGATCCAGGATGTGGCAAACCACGATGAAAGACGAACAGTATCAGAAGACTTACGATTACCGTTTGATGTTATACATGTACACGCCCGAAGTTAAGTCGTCCATATACCCCATTAGCAACAAGACTTCCCTCCTTCACGTCTTAAGCACTAGCTTCCATATCTCCACACCATCCCAGTCTCCTCTTTGCCACCGGGCGCCGCCCTTCTCCATAGCTTTTGCGAGTCTCTTATGAGACACCCGTTCCGCTTTGAAACCCCAGGTTTCCGTTGCCTCCGATAGTGCCCGGTCCGTCAACCCGGAATCTCTGCGTTCCACACACAGGAACACTGGTGGTGCACGGGCTTCTGCAGAAGTCGAGACTGAGAGTCTAGACAGTGTGTGAAGAGAGCGCATAAGAGGCGTGACCAGCTCGGCCACGTATAGCGTGTCGGATGAGATGATGAGATCGAATGGGGGTTGTAATAGAATTGGATTATGCTGTCCTGCGTTAGACGGCTTCTCGAGCTGCTGCGAGGCAATGGTCTTGGGATCATCCCACAGCCATTGGTCAGGAGGTACGGTCCAGTCGAGAACGCGAGCTTCGATAGCGCCAGACCCTGAAGGTAGATGCGCACGATTGCGAGAAATGTTGGGAGTAAGGACGGATGAAATGACATCTTGTAGGTCGGTTGCAATCACGTCCCAGCCCATAGATGCTAGTGCAAGGCTAGGAATCGGTCGAGCAACTCAGAACGATGGAGAACATATGTGGGCGAGCACCAGGATAAGCGGCGATTACAACGCACGCGGTGAGACCAACGCCGCTTCCTAGTTCGATGGCTCTAATAGGGCGTTTCGCACCGGGAGAAGAGCCGGAGGTCGACGTTGATGATTTGTTCTTGAGCAGGTCGGATAGATACAAGGACAGGCATTGCGCGCCGAGCCAAAGCCCGGTGCCATTGGTGGCACCGTTGTCAAGCTGAAGGAGATGAAATATGTGGCTCCGGAAGGGGTAATGCAGTAACGGGACGTGCTTTGTTTCGTGCGCGGGTCGGAGGGCCATGGCGGGACGGAGGAAGGCGTGCACCACGAGGCAATGGGGAGGGCGCTAGCGTGGCTCCGAGGACGGATGGTGTGACGTGTGTGACGTGACCTGGCTTGGAGGAGTTGCAACTGGCCCGGCTCAGCAGCGCGCGCCGTCTCCACGCTCCTCCTCTCCCGCAGCCTCCGCCGATTCCTTCTCTCATCAAGCTGCCTCGACAGCGAGGCTAGCTGCTGTACGCTTACTCATGAAGGCTTTTCTCACCCGCTTGAACCGCGGCCTCGCGGGCGGCAGAGAGAAAGAAAGAGAGAAGGACGCCCCGAAGGAAAAGATACCCCAACTCCCTCCTCTCCCCGATTGGCCTCCAACAACACAACGCGTAGCGTCGACACCCACCTCCGTCAACTCATACAAACCTCTACCCGAACTGTCCATACGTCCACTGCCTCCCATTGGCGAGCCGTCGTCGTCTTCCACCGAATCGTCCCTTACCACAACACCGATCGCTGCACATCCATCGCTGCCTGCCACTGAAACCAAGGAGAATCTTCCTGCAGCAGCAGAGCCTAAACCCCCGTCCGCGCCGTCCTCCGAAGGGCATCAGCCGACACGCGTCGAGGGCTCGACAGATTCTACTGTTCGCAGCTCGCGCAAGACTGCGAACGGGACGAGCTCGGATGCGCAGAAGAAGGTCGCGTTCTTATCTCCTCCTCCAACACCGGGTCCCCTCCAAGATCGCGCCCTTCCTGACGCGGACACGCCCATTCCCACCAACGGTGCGGCCAAGTCCACTGTGTCGCGTTTCCATGCTGCCCATGGCAAGGAAACGCGTGGGTCAACTTCCACTGCTGCGTCGTCCCGGACGGACGTCGCCTCGACGCTCAAGTCCAACAAGGCCACTTCCACACGGACAACCACCTCTCCGTACCCAGCCAAGAGCTACGAAGCGTCGCTACACCAGTCTTTACGTTCGGGCACTCCGTACTCCTCGATGAGCAATACCAGCAGCCGCATACTTGCCGTTCAGTCATGGAGCGAAGGCGCGGAGGAGGACCTCGTCACCAACCTCGGACAGCGAGAACGGACAAGGCAGGAGGTGTTATGGGAAATTGTCGCCAGTGAAGAACGGTGCGTATCTTGTTCGGTCTAGCTTTGTCTCGTCGCATAGTAACCTCCCTTCAGATACGTGATTGAGCTACTGAAGATGAAGGAGACTTTTATTGAGCCCCTCCTTCACCCGTACATCACATCGTCCCCGGTGTCGTCTCCAACACCGTTAGACGTCTACGATGACCTCGCACGTTCCGATACCCCTCGAGAGTCACTAGAGCATCTTCCCATCGCCGCCCGCTTCCTCAATTCCCCTACCGGCGACCGCTCCGATTCACCGCTCCCGGTAAACGACAACTCACGAAAGGAGGATAATCACCCCAACATCGACGGAGAATCGATGGACTCTGCCGAGGAAGAGGAAGCTGAAGACCGGATGGGTGCCGCCTTCCACTCTTCACGGCAGAAGACCGTTACTATGTCGCTGGCGGCAAAGCACAACCACCCTCGATCTCCTTACGGCACGACTGCGGCGAGGTCGGCCAAGAGCAAGCTTGGCACTTCAGTGCCCTTCCCTTCCCGGTCACATCAGTCGTTGCCCCCACCGCCCCGGACGAACTTGATGACTTCCTCGACGCAGTCTCTGGGAAGACAGTCGTTCATGGGCGATTCCTCTCATAGGGACTACGAGCAGTCGCCTCCGTCTATGAAGACGACGGGCACTGGTACTACCCGTGTGCTCCGAAAGTTCAAGAAGAGCATTACGGGCTCCGAATCCATGATCAATGGAGCGGTGCCTCCAGCGCAGCTACCGGAAGACCTCCGCAAGTGCCTAGAAGTTATCGAGGGCGGCATTTTAGATGGCCACATCCGTCTCAGTGAAGGCCTCCGAAAGAGGTACGAGGATCAGTACCCACTCGTTCGGTCACTGGCGGACGTATTCGTGACCAACGTAAGTGCCTATGGTACGCTAAGCTCGACGTTCCCATGCTAACATAGCTCAGTCACATATCCTTCATGGATACGCCACCTACGTCTTGCACCTGGAACGCGCGTTGGAGCAAGTCGACAACGCCCTGTCGACCGCAAGTGCTAGCAAGAAACCGAAGAAGCAGGATGCGGACCAGTGGCTCAAGATCTGCCAGTACTTGCAGAAGCTCGAGATCTCTGCGTCGGAAAAGGGCGAGACTGGACTGGCCATCTCGCTGTCTAAGCCGTTCCAACGGCTGCTCAAGTACCCCCTTCTCTTCCAGAACCTCCTCTACCATACCGATCCGAGCACTTTCGAGTACGAGAGCACACTGCAGATGGTCGCCGAGGTGGAGACGATCGTCCGGAGCATTGAGGACGAGAAGATCCAAAAGGAGGAGCGCGACAAGACGCGCGACGTCTTCGCGCGCATTGAGGGCCTCGACAAGGTTAAGCAGCTCATGGTTCCCAAGCCGTCACGGGTGCTTGTTGAGGAGCGACCTCTCGTTGGCGTCAACCCACTCACAGACCGGACGAAGTCCAGCTCGTCGCCTCCGCCCTCGTCACAGAACCCCAAGAACGTCAAGGGCAAGTCGTCTTTCAAGCGGCTTAGCGATGTCCTCCAGTCGAACAACGGGGTTGGAGGCAAGAAGGACTTGTGGCTGGTTGTGTTCAACGATGTTGTGTTGCGCTGTCAGCGGACAGGCACTACGTCATTGCCGTTGGTGTCGGGCAATGGGAATTCACGCGCGAATTCACTTCCCGAGCTCCAAGGGAAGGCGAAGTACGCCACGACAGGGCGAAGAGGCCCAAGTACCAAGCCCCGAAATCTATACAAGTTCTTGAAGGTCAGTAATCATCGTCATGCCTGTTGACCGTAACGCTCAGTCGTATCAGATCGAGACTTGGGATATCGGTGATGTTGTGCAACCTCGGGAAGGAGTTGTCTCTATGGAGGAGTACGTTCGCAATCTCCATAGTGCCCTGCCTGCCAGTGATGCTTACGTCAAGCTGTAGTGTTGTCAAGTCACGACAGCAGGTACATTCGGGCGTTCAGCCCCGCATAGTTCCTATGCCTACGGAAGAGGAGGAGGAAGCCGCAAACGATTCGGACGACTCCGACCGCAAGAGTAAGATGAGCTTCTCCTATTGGGGCGCGGACAAGGTGACGCTCCAGAAGCCCATCGTGAAACCCAAGCCTCCTCCTGTCAACGGTGGTCGTCGAACAGCAACGCCGACTACGGCATACGCGCGGGAATCGTCTGCGAACGCGAAGTTCGGCACCCGCCTTGTTCAGGACGCCCCACATCACGTACCTCGTCCGGCGAGTCGGCGCACAGGGTCGACGCCGGTCAATCGCAAGGTGACGCCTCACTCCGACGAAGGACATTCCGTCAAGGTGACCGTTACGCGGGAACGTCCGACTTGGGATAGCAGTACTCGCGCGGTCGGCACCCCTCAACCCACCAAACGCACCCGTAACGTCTCGCAGACAAGCGCAGCCACACGCGTCACGACAACACCCAATACCAACAAAACCCTCGGTTCTCCTGCACCTTCGGAAGACTCCGGCGTGGGTTTCATCCGTAACATCGTCAACCAAGACCCTTCCTTGAATCGTTTGATTCCATAGATTATGCTATGGCTTTTCCTGTCCCATAACCAATATTCTCACGCTTCTTTTACGCCTTTACGGAATAGTTCACGACCAACTCTGTCCCATCTCTATGATCTTTGCACAGGCCGTTCTTGTCGTGCTGATATGCTGTTACATCCTTGTTCATGTTCTCGTCTACTCTCATCGTCTATTGCCCATTGTTCGTTGTTACTTGTCATCCAGTACCCCACAATTCACGATACCGTATCACTCCTTATTCTCTTTATTCAGGCACGCGTTCCCGCTAATTATCGTTCGTCGTCCTGTCCGCTCGCTCACTCTTGCTGTCCATCTCACAGCTCACCGTCCCCCGTTAAACAGCTGCATGCCAAGGTTATCACCACCTGGATTTCTTTATCCATCGACATCTCAGTCTCCTCCGAGTATGCGCATATATGCACCTGCATTACGCTCTGGTTACCCCCCAACCCTCCGCACGGACATGGCATGCACACACGCTCCTTCCCTCTCGTTGTCAGAGTATAATATCGTCTAGATTCCCGTTGTAGCAATCTTACACTTGGCAATGCTTCTACCCTTCGACCCCCATCCACCTAGCGACCTCTTAACTGTCAGCTGCTGTGTACGCGGCATTGTGTATACTGACGCTCCGGCCGCTCGGGTCGGACGAGCATCCCCAGTCGCCACGCGGTATCCACCTGGCAAGTGATTCAGTCACAAATTCACGTTATGTTCACACGAGATTGGACGAGGACTAAGTCACGAGAACTCACCTAACGGCGGTCGCAGCCGCAGCCGGAGGGAACATACCTACACAGGGACGCCGTCGCGTGAAGCGCATAAATCAGATGAGAGGAAATGGTAGCGAGAGAACGGGAGGTACGCACTGTCGAAGACGTCGCGGATGAAGTACGCTTCTTTGGTATCAGGTGTGCTCTCAGGCCAGCGTTCCGCCCGCTTCGCGAAGGCCTCGTCGGACACCACGGCGGCTGCATGGTCCTTGATACTGCGCAACAGAGAGGCGAGAGGTCAGAGTCAAGAGGCGCACGGGGGCGGGCAGAATATAGGGACGGAGACACGTACCCATCGATCCACGAATATCCTACCCCGTCGGAGAATTGCTCCTTCTGCCGCCAGAGGATGGACTTGGGAAGATAAGGCTGAACATCGGGAAAATGATAAACCAGTAGGACACAAAGCAGAGGATGAAGACGCGGCGTACCTTGCCATCTGGCGAGCAGTCGAATGCTTTTCGGAGGATGTACTGCAGGCGCGAGTCAGCGAAGAAATTAACGAACACATGGCCAAGCGGCACGTGCCTTCTCCATCTTGGGGCGACCGTCCTCGTCGACCTCCTGTGCCGAGCCCTTGCTGAACATCTTCTCCCTCGGGTCGATGTTCATGGCGACCTCAAGGAACGCCTTGTCTAGGAACGGTACACGAGCTTCGAGACCCCAAGCCATTGTTGACCTGCATGTATTCAGCATGCCGTCCTGTTCACGATGGCAGGTATGACTCACTTGTTAGCGCGAAGACAATCAGCAGTATGTAGGTTCTTGACCCGCTTCACGCACTCTTGGTGGAAAGATCTCGGGTCCGGAGCAGCGTGGAAGTATAGATATCCTGCATTCACTTGTCAGGCGATCGGCTTAACGCATCGGACGGAGGACACTCACCGCCGAAGATCTCGTCGCTACCCTCTCCACTGAGAACCATCTTAACACCCATGGCCTTGATCTTCCGACTGAGGAGGTACATAGGTGTGCTCGCGCGAACCGTCGTGACGTCGTATGTCTCGAGGTGGTAAATCACATCGGGAATGGCATCGAGGCCCTCCTGCACAGTGAAAGTATACTCGTGGTGTACAGTTCCCAGATAGTGCGCCGCTTTTCGCGCGGCGAGCAGGTCGGGCGAATTCTCCAGACCGATGGAAAATGAATGCAGCTGGGGCCACGCCATGATGGTCTCTGCGGGCAACATCTGTTAGCAACTGGTCGATGTCCAAAGTGACAGACCAGGGAACGTACGAGCCTCGTCAACGCCATCCTCTCCAGGTGTGGGCGGACCGCTTTTCGATTCCTGCAGCCTCCGTTTTCTCGCCTCCGCCTGAGCCATAGCGACCTTCTCCGTCTCGCGCGCGGCAATGGACGCGATCAGACTGCTGTCCAGACCGCCGCTGAGCAGCACACCGTACGGCACCTCGGACATGAGGCGCTTCCTGACGGCCTCCTCCAAGCTCTCGCGCAGCAGCTTCAGGTCCACAGGTTTGTCCGGAATGACGGCTTCCGGGCCATCAAGGTCCCCGTTCCACCACGTAGGCTGGAAATAGCGCGTCGTCGACTGGTCACGCGAGTCGTAGACGTGGCCAGGGGGGAAGGAGATGATCTTGTCGCACAGATCGGTAAGCGCCTTCAGCTCGGACGCGAAGAACGTCGCGCCGGGGCGTTGGGAGTTCCAGCCCTGGTAGAGGGTAGTAATGCCGATCGGGTCGCGCGCAGCGATGATACGCGAGGGCGTGACGGACTCGTCGAGGAGAACGAACGAGTACATGCCATCGAGGAGGTTGCATAGCTCCTTGTCGTGCTCTTGGTACTGCGCGTGTGCGAGATGAGCACGCGACTCATGGTAGAGGAGAGATACGGGACTTAGGGCGGGGAAACGTACCAAGGGAATAATGACCTCGCAGTCCGAGTGTGTCTTGAACTTGTACGAGTTCTTGAGGCTCGCGCGCAGCTTGATGTGGTTGTAAATCTCGCCGTTCACGGCGAGGATGATCTTGCCATCGTTGCTAACGAGGGGCTGAGCGCCAGTGTCTGCGAAAGGGGTAATGAGCCATTAACCTCCTCGCAAGCGATTACACTGGGCCATGTCTCACCGACACCGACAATGGCAAGACGTTCGTGAGCGAGGATGGTCTGCTTGCCGCTGTAGCAACCGGACCAGTCAGGACCGCGATGGCGGATTTTCTTCGAGCAGGCGATGAGCTTGGGGCGCTCCGCGCTGGGGTTATCAATGCCGTGTGCAATGACGATTCCGCACATAGCGCGTAGGATGACGTGCAGTCAGAAGGGGTGCTGGATGGGCGGCCGCGGGTCAAAACTTGGTTGCTGAGTGCCTATAAGGAAGAGAGAGCAGCGGGGTAATGACTCGGACGGGGGCAGCATGGTTTATCAAATAATAATATCTCGAGGAACGGAACGGAGAGATTAGATATGCTCGCATTCCGAGATATGTATACCAGACATCGGGAATAGATCTCCGCGTTCTTGGCACCGGCCAGTTCCGAGGCTCCTCCTCGAGAATGAGTCCAGAATATTCGTTTACTCCGACAAAGCAACGAATAGCACGACTCAAGCGGATCGTGAAACGTGGCGTGCAGAGGTATATTGCACAGGAAACCCTGGAGATATCACGACGATTGTATAAGTACGAGGCTGGGGCTTCACAAAGCGTGCTTCGTCAAAGACGAAATGATGTCTGGCAAACATAACACAGTATATTCAAGGCCACGTTAATCGACTTGGCCAACACTCCGCTCGCGAGGATCCTCTATCAACCCCAGAGGTGGAGGACCTTGGGGTCAACAGAGTCAAAGTAACGACCACCCTTGATAGGCGTCCTCGCGAGGATCTCGTCGATTTCTGCAAGCTCAGCGGCGGTGAGCTCGATCTCGCCGGCCGCGATATTCTCCAAGGTACGCTTCTTGACGCTGTAGCATTTTCACTCGATGAGTCAGCGGTCCTGGAAGAAATGACTCCGAGAACTTACGAGGATCCAGGGAGGGGGATGACGTGCGGTCCGAGCGAGGCGACCCAGGCGATAGCAAGCTGGCCCGGAGTGATACCCTTCCTTTCCGCGATGGCCTTGACGGCATCGACGAGGGCGAGGTTGTGCTTGAAATTCTCTTCCTGGAACCGCGTCATGCGGCGACGCATGTCATTCTCTGGATGGTATTTCTGTGAGACCCTTAAGGGAGAGCAATGCAAAGGAAACTACCTACGAGGCAAATCATCGAGGCTCTTGATACTGCCAGTCAAGAAGCCTCGACCCAAAGGTGAGTATCCAACGACAGCGACGCCAAGTTCCTTCGCGGTTTCGATGACTGTTGATAATGATGTTGATCGACGGACCATATCTATCAGTTGCTCTTTGGTTGACACGCACCCTTCTTGGTCTCCTCCTCATACGACCACAGGCTGACTTCGATCTCAACAGCCGTGACCGGATGGATGGCGTGAGCCTTTCTGAGGGTTGCGGCGCTGCATTCCGACAAGCCGAGGTGCTGGAAATGACCCTCATTCTTGAGTTCAACAAGAGTCTTGATTACGTCCTCAAGGGGAACATTAGAGGGCACACGAGCCGTCTCGAAGAGATCCATCTTCTTGATACCGCCCAGCTTCTCGTTGATGAAGGTGACGCTTCGCCTGAGGTTTTCTGCGCTGAATCGAAGTCAATGCAAAGTAAGAAGGCGTGTGAATTTGTGACACTCACGAGCCATCCGGGACCAACTGCCGGGCAGCAAGCCCTCCCTAGATAGCGAAGTCAGCGATGTTCCGGAGACGGGGCAGGAGTGAGGAAATACCTTGACCGAAAGAAAGGTCTTGTCAGCGTAGTCGGGATACTTTTGGTAGAATCGCGCAAGTAACTCGAGATTCGCCGGCGACTGGTCCGGGCCATAAAACTCGCCTGATACAGTATGAACAAAGATATATACTGATCTCGAGAACGCGAGCTTACCGCTGTTGAGGAACATTTTCACGCCAGGCGGCAGGGAATCGACACCAGCCTTGATAGCCTCGAATGCCTCCTCGTCTGGAAGGGGGTGTTTGGGATCCCTCCACCTAGACCAGATCGTCAGTCGTTACCGTTGTCAGCGGTTGAGACATGGCGTACGTCATCATCATGAGACCATGCTATGTGTACCAGGGGTGTGAGATATAGGGGTGCAGGTATCCTCACAGTGCGTACTTACGGCGACCTTGCCCACGGTAACATCGGTAGCGGTTCCGCCAAGCTTGGCAGTCTTGGTTACGGTCATCTTTCTGGAGGGACACGTACGAAGCTATGGAGCAGAGGATGCGAAGGGATTCGGAGGTTGGAGAATGCAAGTACATCCTGTTCGCGCTGGCCATTTATATACGGGGCGACATAGCTGTTGGACGAGATATGGGAAAAAGGAGACGTCATGGAACATTCCATCGAAATTAGGCACAGTGCACAAGTCCGCTGACTTGATCGATTGAGTTTGAGACTAGTGTAGAGGACTTGAGCACTCTGGCGACGCGATGGACGGTGGCGGCTCTTTCGAACGCCGCAAGGACGCGTTTGCGCCGCGCGTTGTCGGCAGCTTGTCGCGGGACAGCTTGCCCTGATTTTACGCTGGCCGCAGGCATGTTGACCCTTCGAGAAGCCCCCGATCGGTATACCTCTGTGGAGTCGAGTAATGCCTTCGGGATTGAAGGTGGGTGCATATAGGAGTGCGTCCGAGTCAACTTCCACTCAGTACGACGATCGTCTGACGAGGTGCTTTGTCAGCGGCTCTTCAAATGGCAGCTGCTCTTACAAAATCATAATTAATCATTAACTACTTACTATGTCTTTGTCCGCCGAAGTAACGTCACTCAACAGCCATGAGCGAATGGTTGGTATGGAATGGTTCAGACATGTTGCTTTGATCCTAGCGGTCTCATTGCGGCCAGAAGGATGTGAACGTACATGACACTGGTGCGTCCCCCGCAGTTCTTCCTGATATCTGGCTAACCAGGGCGGCGCCCTTTCAGTACGGCAGCTGGTCCACATGAACGTTCGCTATCTCAGCTGTCTATGTTCGGGTCTCCGACCGCGCGACCCTTGCGAACCAGACATCGCGAGCAAGTTCTGGCGCCATCGACAATTCCCAGCGTAACAGAAGAGAACGTGGCCAGCGAAGAGAAGAGACGCTCATAACAACGCATGCTTCAGGAGGTTTTCTCGTTGCCAAAGTCACCCAAGCCGTGAAACTTCTATTCCGTCGTCTGCGGTGACGTCGGACGTCTTGTGTCCCGCGCACCCACGCCGTAGGCCCGTGTACGCAGGCCCGGAATCGCTCGTTGGGAAGCCATCCGGTGCATCATGCACCGGACGGGGTCTTTGACACGCCGGGACTGAGCTCTTGTCCACGGCACCGCAAGTGTCCTAGCAGCGCTGCTTTGTCCAAGCCCCTTCGTCCAGAGCGGGAAGATGCATACCACGATACACCGATGACTGCAGATATGCAAACGCTCCTCCGGGTACCTGCGGTCTAACCCTGCCAATTTGGGAAGCCAGAATCCCGAATGGTACTGGATATAGCTACCCGGCTATGTGTCCTGGACCGCTGGGCGCTGTTACGTCAAACGCCGCTAGGGTTCGGTTGACACCGTCTGTGGATGCAGTTGCGATGTCATACCCGGACTCATGTAGGCGTTTCCCAACCCTTGCCACACCCTCTCGAAACGTCACTCTGTACCTGGTCTGGTACCGTCCTCAGCTATGGTCGATGCGTCCGTGGTGAACTCGTCAGTCGATTGCATAAACCTACATCTCCTGTCTTGATTCTGATCGACATCTTCGCAGGGTCAAGTCCTCTTTGTGGAATAACTTTCTATCCGTAGTAGCATTCGGTGCGTCTCCACTCATATGTTCGTGCCTATTGTCCAGATACAAGCGTTTCCCAGCTCTCTTATACTACGACTATGCGTTGACACTCGGAGATGAAGTCGAGTACTTCTGGAAGTCGGCCGGTTTCTCTCTGTCTTCAACTCTGTTCGTGTTCAACCGCTACTTTGGTCTAATCGGCACGTTCCCTATCGTTTTCGAATATTTCGCTCATTTACCGGAGCATGTAAGCTATCTCCTAGCCCTGACGGGAGCAGCTTCTGATTGATTGACATTTCTTCAGGAGTAAGTTTGTCTCAGCACAACGCGAGTGACCCTGACAATCCCACATTCTGTGTCTATTCAAGATGCCGGCTACTACAAACCTACCACCAAGTCTTCTCGGTCGTAACGCAAGGTGTCATCGCAAGTGAGTCACCCGCCTTTGCCTCACACCCTTGGTTTGACGTCGGGCAGCGATTCTGTTGCTTCGCACGTATGCCTTGTACGAACGGAAGAAATCGGTTCTTGTGCTTCTCGTCGTGACCCTTGTTGCTGTCGCTCTTGTGTGCCTGGTAAGTGGGACGAATTGCCGGTCGAGAACTCAACTCGGAACTTTCCATTCCAGGTGGCAACGATGACCGTGAACAGTCCAGTAGCAACACCGAACACACCCGTACAACGCCCCAGCGGCGGGTGCGATCTCGCTCTCACCGAAGAACAGTGAGGACAAATCTTCCGCGTTGTGTTCCGTGATCGGTCTCTTTGACATCTGAATAATAGGGGCATCCGTATGTTGCTGCCACATCGATGACATGTGGTGACTTCTCGTATTGAAGGCTTCGCCGTCAGATCTCGCCATCGAGTGGTGTGCAATGCTGTGGTTTGACACGACTGTCTTTCTGCTCACCCTGGCGCGTGCATTGCGCATGCACCGGCGGCTATCGGGTGGCATTGTGAATCTTCTGTTCCGTGATGGTGAGGCGCACTTCTGGTATATCGATCCTGCAATCATATACTCATCATCATGCACAGGTACCATCTACTATGGGTGAGTGGATGTGTGTATCCACAATGTGGTTGGGGCTCCTTCATATGCGGAACGTGGCAGCATACTGGTTGTGTTCAATGTATCGAACATCATCACATTCTTGGTAAGCCTTGACATGCAACGCCAGTTCACTCCAGTGCTCATCCATTCCTGTACACAGGCAGTCCCGGTACGTGGCCCGTTCGCAGCAGACGGCATATATGAGCACGCCTCATGACATGCCCATAGGCCGGTTCGAAGAAGGGGATCGTAACCACCTTGACGAATGCGTCAGCCTATCTCCTCTCCGTCAGATGATCAGCTGACGATGGTTGCCTCCAGACTATCCACCACGCTTACCTCCCGTCTCGTTCTCAATCTCCGTGGCATCGGATCGCGAAAGTGGGACCGCCGTACAGCGGATGAAGAGAACAGCACGATGAAGTACAGAATTCCACCCAACGGGGAACCATTCGTCTCCCACTTGATATTCGCTTCTCCAACCACCTCTTTGATGGAGGGCTCTAGGAGCTACGCAGTGAGCCATGACGCTGAAGCGAGCATGGGATGAGGTACGATAGATAATTCTAACTCGATGTATATGCCTAGGACACAGTGTCTAACGCACCTCTGCAGCGCAGCCGTCGCTAGGAGTGGCCGTGCAATCGCAGTGCGCTATGGGCGCCTCGAGTTTTTTCAGGTGGTCAGTACAACATGAATGAAGAGAAGTTCCGAGTCTTTGTCAATTCCATGTATCAACAAATTGTCCCGAACGCTCCGGGAGTTTGTCCCCGTGCTGACGTTGACCTCCCAGCCTCAAGACAAAGATAGCGTCTGTGTGTGAACGAAGCGGCTTCTGCGTATATTCTCTCCTTGTACGTACGTTGATGAGCGCACTTGTTTCAAGTGAGGTGCCCTGCAGTCCCTCAGTTGAGTGTGCTAACCACAAGTGTTGATGACAAGCGCTGGAATCAGCACATGCGCTCTGCCCCAAAGACGCCAGCGGTCGCCTCCAACGGAGGCATCAAACGGTGACTGGACACAACAGCCATCGATCACACATACATGCTGGGTCGCTCCAGGCACCTCCACGAGGACGGACTGATGTGCTTCGGTGAAATTTAGATGCACGTCAGCACCGGTAGTTTCGGCGGATGGTGGCGCATGGTAGGGAACCGTCAGAAAGCCACACAGCATTCATATCTAGGTTCTTTCAATGGCTCCCGATAATAGTGAACTTAGAGTGGGCCCTTGGCCTCGCTAATTTCAATCTCAGGAACGCGGGTCCAGGTACCGGTTACAGACTGTGAAGCTCCATACTCTCCTGCGTTGTTGAATCTGCTCAAGTCCGCTTCGCCAGAGTGGAATCACAGAGGAGGCGAGTCTGGAACATCTACAGGAAAATATAGAGAATTGACATACCAGGTTGACATATAGGCGACATTCGGATTTCTGTCCTCTGATACATTTGGGCTTGTCAACGCTTTGCAGGGCCGCGTTGCTTGAGGCTCAAGCTCAAGCTCTGAATCCAGGTCAGGTCAGGTCAATCTTAGTGTCACCTGGTCTGGAACACCGTGGTGAAGAATTCATGTCTTATGGGTGAAGCAACATTCAATCCAGCCCTGGCAAGTAAAGTCGGGTCTTCAGCCAACGCTGAGTGCCAGAAGTCAATTGCAGGGGATTGAACGGCAATAGTTTCAAAGGCCATACTCATAGCCGTTTGCGTGTACGTCGGCGAGCCCTATCAAAGTAACTACTTCAATAGGCGCGAGTCTCCGCAGATGATCGGCCATGCTTGACGCTCCGTCTTCTTTTCGGCGCATTCCCACACCTCGGTCAGGATGGTATATGCTTGGTATCGTGGGTACGATGCCTGCCAATCTCCCCCCTGCCTGCCATCGGAGTAGCGTCGACTGCCCATGCCTCGCTTCACGAGAGCGGTCCAGGCGACCGCGGAGTATTGGTACCTAACCCTCGTATGACAAGTTCCTTTGCTGACGACTTTTATGGCCGTCTGTGCAGGGCTTGGTCTATCCGGCTGAATAATTACTTCTCGGCGGTCGGGTATGGTGGGTTGTAAGTAATTCCCTCAAATACTTTAGCTGACTCAAGGTTAGCGATATTGTTTTACGACTTCTCCTTGACCTTCTCCACCGAGGTTGAATACTTCTGGAAATCGGCCAACATATCCCTGTTCTCTGTGCTCTTTGCTGCCAACCGCTATTTCGGCCTTCTGGGACCCATCCCTACCATATTCGAGTACTTCACTAGCCCTTCTGAGCAGGTGAGTAACCCACAGGTGTTTATCCTTCAGCATGTTTACTGACCAACGGATCGCAGAGGTACATTTATTATCGAGATCATTTGGTCGTTGAGGCTGAATTTTTCGTCAGCTGTCGTAACCTACAGGTATACCATCAAGCGTTCGCAGTGGCCAGCCAGGCGACCATCGCTAGCGAGTATCCATCCCGATTATCCGTGTGAGGATTGTCACTCACTGAGCCTCTATAGTCATCCTAGTGCTTCGTACATACGCTCTGTACGAACGCAGTGGACGGATCCTCGTGCTGCTCATAGTCACACACGTGGGTGGTGCTATAGCCGCCCTGGTACAAGCTGTAGTTTCATCGTCGTGTTTCGCGCTCATAACCTCCGATGACGCGCAGGTCATGATGATCACTACTGAGAGTCCGAAGGACATGGACACAACCTTGCCGTTCAATTTTTCCGGATGCGACCTGTCCCTGACCAATGGCCAGTGAGTAGTAAATCATCCCTGTACTTATGCATGTACGGATAGCTAATAGCGTAAGCTAGATCCTTTCGTGCGCGACGCCTTTGTAGCGCCATCATTTTACAAAATATTCAAGGATGTCTGTCTGTTTACAGATCTCGCCATCGCATGGTTCGCAATGTTGTGGTTCGATACGACCATTTTTGTGTTGACGCTAGCGAGGGCGATCCAAATGCATCGTCGCCTCCCAGGTGGGATAGTGGAGATTCTGTTCCGAGATGGAACTATCTACTACGGGCGAGTGGCCTGTGCATGAAGGAATAATGCTTGTAGTGATTACTGACATACGCAACCTGACAGGATCATCGTCGCGTCCACTGTGACGAATATCGCTACCTTCTTGGCGACGCCTGTACGTGATCTCCCCACAGTGATCTCCTGTGACCCCCAAGTCACCCAAATTGAGCAGTCTGGTTCGAACCTCAAAGGCTTGGAGACAACACTCACTAATACGTAAACCTTGTCTCTATGCTTCCAAACTCTGTTGACCAAGGCGTTTGCATTTGCAGGCTATCCACGACACTCATTTCACGGCTTATCTTGAACCTCCGGGACACGCGACTGCGACGAGCGCGTTACATCGGAGAAGGTGCGAATTCGCAAGCATTGTCCGCGACTTCTGCGCAATCCGTCGTCTCCCGTGTGGTCTTCGGCAGAGATCAGGCGAAAGCTCTTAGCACCAGCGCCTCGGACTCGACATCTTGTACGGATTTCCCAAATGATACGGAGATGACCGCATAGGGACTATTGTCGCGCGTACTCCTTGTACATTCTCGCTGTTGTACACTAGCTATCATCTGTAATCCGAACACCGTATCGCCGATCTACCTGCCGGCCTCCCGCGAGTCTCAGCGTGTCATTCCTCACGACTTCCCGTTCGTTTCATCCCCACAGATGCAAGAAGTGCCCCGCGGGCCCGCCTATGTAGCGATCGCCCTTTACCTCGTGCTTGGAGAGGATATCCGCGATTTGGTCCTGCTCCTCTTGCGTAAGCTCAATGTCTCCGCTGAGGATGTTCTCTACGACCCTCTTGGGTTTGCTGTGAAACACTGGTTAAATCTTCCCCTTACCAACAGAAGCAAATGGAAACGAACCCGGATCCTGGCAGAGGGATGACGTGCGGACCGAGCGATGCGACCCAAGCAAGGGCGAGCTGGGGGAGAGCGATCTGCTTCTTAGCGGCGATTGGCTTGATTTCCTCGAGAATACCGAGGTTGTGCTTCAGGTTCTGCAGTTGATGAGAGCGATATCAGAGAAGCGGCACATCTGCGGAGGACGGAAATAACCATCGAACCTCTTCCTGGAACCGATCGAACCTGCGGCGCATGTCATGCTCGGGGAGGTCGGTAGGGCTGGTGATGGTACCGGTCAACAATCCTCTGCCCAGGGGCCTGAACGAACGTCAGCGTCCTAAATTAGTAGTGGATCGGTCGGGCAGCAGCCTCACGAGTATGCGATCACAGAGATGCCAAGTTCTTCAGCGGTCGCGATGACTGCGGGCGATGATCGTGGCATGAGATGAGTACACAGCGCATGTGTAGGAGGGGGCTCAACGTACCCTTACGCGTCTCCTCTTCATAGGACCACAAGCTGACCTCGATCTCAACGGCGGTGATCGGGTGAATCTGTCGAGGCATTCAGCGGGTCTGTCACAGGCTATGGGTGTCTGTCGGTGAGCCCAGAGAACGTACAGAGTTCGCCTTTCGCAACGTTTCGGCACGGCACTCTGACATGCCCAAATGATCGAACTTGCCCTCCTCCTTCAGCTGGACAAGCGTCTTGAGAGCCTGCTCAAGGGGGACGTTCGGGTCGACGCGGGCTGTCTCGAAGAGGTCGATCTTCTTGGTCCCACGGAGCGCAGCCACACAGGCGTCCACGCTGCGGCGGAGGTTCTCGGCTCTGCATGCACGCATATAGTTAGTGGACTGGGACTATCCTTCGAGAGAGATGATACTGTACGAGCTGTCGGGCGTGAGTGTGTTCGCCTTCATTCCGCCCTGTAAGAGCACGTCAACACTGGCGACCTATCATTTGTTGGGAAGTCGACACTCACCTTGACAGAAAGGAATGTCTTCTCCACATACTCAGGGAACGTTAGATTATCGTTCCGGCGCGCTATGTAGCGGCTACAGAAAATTCACGTGACACCATAGCGCCGCTATGGCGGCGCTATAGCGGATAAAAAAGTTTCCAAAACCTTGTGTCGAGCAACGACATAGCGTCACTATAGCGTAGCCATAGCGTAGCGTCGGAGTTGCATGTATCGGCTACGAGCAAGACTGATATATAGTTTGCATCCGTCTGATCGACCCCCCGCTGTCCCCTTGGCCTTCTGGGAGTTGTACTCACCTTGCGACTCGCACCGCAAGCTCCCTGTGGACTTGGTCTCGGCATAATTCTGTCCGAGTCGCCCGGAAGCTCGAGAATTGACTGGTCAGTACTTCGGGTTCGTTACTATTCTTCGGCTACATCCATTACGGCACTGATCGTCTAGCATCGCAGGTTCGGCCTTCATATAAGGCAG